GGGACCTCGCCGACACCACCCTCATCTAACGTAAGGATCAAACGATCCTTGGTCCTTACCTGACCTGATATGGTGCGACCCTTCGACTTTTTACCCTTGTCTAGGTCCTTATGTCAAAAAGTGGAAATTGACATGGACCTCGCCTCGAACGCTACCACTTCCCTGCTCAAAGCATCGTAGGTCATGGTAAGCTGCTGACTCTTTTCAAAGAAATGCTCGCGTAACTGCTTGGGCATAGCGCGGTAGAAGAGGTTAACCAAGTGGGTCTCAGTGACCCTATGGTCAGGAACGGCGACCAACTCATCCATCACACCCTTGAGTGCCTTGGCACTCCGCCACTGACGAGAATGGATGGTTCGCAGGAAGCCTTGACACTACGGGTCACATCTGCAAACCGTTCTCTCAGTAACTTGAGGAAGTCACTGAGGGGAGTAAACGCGGAATATGCAACCAAATCATCATTACAGTTGGCGGCACGACACTGGGAACGGGCGAAGCTCGCTGCTTTGTCCCTAAGAGCGTGAATAGCTATCAGGACATGCTCGTCGGGCGCGACTTTCTGTAGGTGCACGTACGTCTTGACATTGGTTTCCCAATTGTCAAAGTTCGCCTCCTTCTTCCCACTATAGGAGTCAGGGAACTTGACCTTGACCGGCTCCCTACGGGGACGTGCCTCCTCCTCCTTGGGGGCAGTCAATCTGGCACCTTCTATGGCGCGAGTACAAGAACGTTCCGTGCCCTCTAGGCGGGCCCTCACCTCTGAGCCCACCTGCGTTGCCAACTCCCTTGCAAAGTCCCTAAGTCCCAGCCGTATAGAGCGCACGGCGATATGTTGACCTCTACCAAACAAATATTGCTCTTCCTCGACTTGTGCCAGGCGCTTCCTCGCCATTATCTCCATCTTTCCCTGTAAATCCACCTGCGTCGCCATCTGGTCTCTTTGCTTCTGCACTTCTTCCAATGCTTTCGCCGCCTCACTTGCCGCCTCCATTCTCCTTTTTCTCTCCCTCATCAATCGAAATTTCCACTCCATCCTCTTTCCATCCTCCATCGCCTGCCGCCTGAGTGGGTCTTCTTCTGCATCCCACTCTCTCATGGCCGCCTCTTGTTCTTCCCTGGGCACATACATTAGTGCCGCCTCTTCTTCTCCCAGGGATAGACCAGCAACCCACTCTGTGATTTTCTTCTCCAACTGATCTTCTTTTGTGCCACTGGATTCACCTCTTCCTCCTTCCCTTCGCCATTCCAGTGGCTGTTCTTCCTCCTCTTCCTCCTCTTCTACTGCCCTCAGCTTCTCTTCTTCTTCTCTCTTTGGCCTCTCTATTTCTCTGGCCATCTCCTCCTCAATCTTTTTCAACTTCGCCGCCTGTTCCTCCATCAGGGCCTTCTTCTTGGCCTCCTTCTCCCTTTGCTCTTTCAGAAGGGCGGCGGCTTTCGCCTCCCGTTCTGGTGTGTAAGGTTTGGTAGTCGTACCACCCCTCGTGTCTACTCTGCACGTAAAGGTGTTCCAGAATCCCAGAGGGAAGAGGAGACGCCAGAGCGTCCCCCACAGGGAGAACCCCACAAGCAAGCCGTGCATAGGGTCCGGTCAACCCCCAAGTCGGCTATGGCTGCCGGCACCTTCTTCCTCGCCAACCTCCACTTCCCTTTCCCCCTCCTTC